ATAATGTGATGATTTGATATACAATGTGGCATGCTTAAATCAAACTGACTAATATATCCATCACCTCACTTCCTTATTTGTTGTGGTAAGACATTTAAAATTTACTCTTCATTATCTTGAGATTTACTCTTGCATTGTGCATATTAGATGAGATCCCACCAAATGCCCTCTCTTTTGCCACCAATTACCCTCTCCTTTTCTCTTCCCCTCTCTTTCATCTCCCCTCCCCCTTGCTAGGCTATATTTGTGTTTTATCATTCATATGAATATGTATGTGTTTATATATTATTTTCATAATTCTATTGAGTACATTGGATATTTTTTTTTCCCATTCTTGAGATACTTTACTGAGAAGAATGTGTTCTAGCTTCATCCAGGTAAACATAAAAGATGTAGTCTCCGTGTTTTTTATGACTGAATAGTATTCCATGATAGAGTAGGAGTAATCTGTTAGAATAATTGCATTACGATGATCAAGTTGCTTTGAAAAATTTCTTTCTATATATTATCATAACTTCTTATATAGTCACCAACTTGGAAATTGCATAAAGATAGAAAAATGGATCACTTTTCCAAGAAAATGTTTTGCTGGGAAAGAAGAATGTAATCAATTATTTAAATTTATCATATAAATAATCAGAGGAAATATCACTGATTGAATTGATTATTCTATAAATTCACATTTAGCAGTTTTTAAAAATAAATGCTAAAACCAACAAGGCCTACTGGACTAAAGATCTTTAATTAACTGTATACTGTAAACATATACAGAGTGTACCAAAAATACATACACATTTTAAGAAAGGAAAACTGTATTAAATTTGTAGTACTCCCATCATGTTTTAACTTCTATAATTACAAGAGCTGCTTAACATGACTTGCATTCAGCCTTTGTTATTGGTATATATTGAGTATTACAATTCTAATATAATTTTTTCCTTTCTTAAATTGTGTATACATTTCTTTTTTGGCCCCCTCTATATATTAAAATGTGCCAAAAGGTACCTTTTATTTCAAAAGGACAGCTCTATGTGGATAAGAAAAATACAAGACGAGATGTTGAAGACTGTGTTAGGAATATTTTGCATTTACTTTATAATTATGAAATATGAATATTTATTCATACTTTGGCTATGAGAACTTACAGATATTTTTAGAATTGTATGCTAGGAATAATGTTCACAATTTTCACATAATTATAAGTAAGACAATGTCTATTTTACTCTGAAGTATCCTACTAGTACTCTTAATAAGTTTTGCTTGGAATGTTTTTCTTAATACTACAGGTCCTTCAGGAGTAGATTCAAATAGAAAAGTACCCATTCAAATTGCTGTGATATCACTGTTTGTGTCTTTTTGCATAATTGGTTTAATATCTCTGGTTATCAAGTTTCTCTTTATAATGTAAAATGATAGTAGAGCCACGAAAACTGGTTTTGAATCAGATATATCTGTGTTTATGTTGTTCTTTTTGTATCTTCTAGGTTTGAATTAGTTAATCTTGAGGGCTTTAATTCCTACCATTGCAGAGCAAGTATAACCATATCCATTTTGCATTGTCGATAGTAAGATTCTTTAGGAGATGTATGTAAAGAACTTTGGCCTGGCACTTCCCAAATACCCACCAAA